ACTATGTTGCATATGTCCTTAAATAGTTATTTCCCATGAGGGCCACATGTTTAATTTATTTACATTTGACCTCGTGTCCAGCTGATCACTATCAGCACTTGAAAGCATTATAAGTAATATAGGTTCGATAGAGGCGACATGTTTACCTGGACTAATTTGTTCAGCGATAAATAAATCAATGTGTTCAACACTGGTAGTTATTTAATCAAATAAATTATGGTTTGGTACATATTTTATACTTCACACTTTATCAGAAAAATAAATATATTTGATTTAGAATATTACATGTAAATCAAGATAACCTCTACCTGTGCCCCTCAGAGGGCCTCTTAATTGAGTGAGATAATTATACTGTTTATATAGGTTTTAGACGTTCGGGGAACACACCTTCCTGGTTTAATCCTATATAACTTACAAGTCTTTGACACAGTTATATAAATGCAGGTAGTTTATTCATACAGTTTAAGGTGGCTCATTACATCCACAGTTTATTTTAGATTCCAATACAGCACCACTTATAATGTAGATGTCAAATATCCAGATGGGGGTATTGATATCATAAATATTTTTTATAGATTTTTTTAGTTTTTGTGTAATTCTAGTGAAATGTTTCATTTCAAGTTTATTAGTAAGAGAATTTCAGAACTTTCAGTGTCAAATGATGGGCATCTTCTTAAGACACGTACACACAGTGAAAATACCTCATAATACCTAATAATAATTTTATTAGAAAAAATAATTTTATCCTATAAAACATTAAGAAAATGAGTTATGAAGAGACAAGGAATGTATTTCAGTGAATTACATGTGTCATATTGAATGAAGAATGTTAAAACGAAATGAAAAATCCAATTTAAAAAATATTTGGTATAAAAAGTCCACTTTCAAGAGTTATCTTTCCTAATTACCCAAGACTCAAAACACTAAGGAACGTTTGACATTACATCTAAAATTCAGAACAAAGCTTTAAACTGCCAGAGTATACATTTAAAAATTAATAAAGCAAATATATAAATTAACACCAACACAGTAAATAGTGCAAGTAAATAACTTTTTAATCTAAACAAGGTTGTAGATTTTAACTCGAATTTCCTCCATACAAACATGTCATTGATTGATAGAGCTCACTGCATGCATCGCTATGAAATTGACATTACTTGTTTGGCGAAGATTTGACTGTTGTTTTCTTTTGTTTCTGCTTAAAAGCAACTCTTCTTGGTGTATGCATAATGAATCCGTTACTTTGTTTTCACTGTTTATAACACCCCATGTTTCATCTATTTTTAAAGCGTTTTAAAGGTCAGGGTCATATTATAGAGGAACCTGTACAATTCGTCCCCAGAGGAAACCGGTCGACACAATGAAGGTTTATTTTTTTGTGTAGTACGTCATCAAAAAGTGGTGTAATGAGCCTCCTTAAGACACAGGTAACACAGGTAGACTCTACCTGTGCCCCTCAGAGGGCCTGTTAATTGAGTGTGATAATTATACCGTTTATATAGGTTTTAAACGTTCGGGGAACACACCTTCCTGGTTCCCTTATCTCCTCGTACACAGACCAGATACAGGTGTGTGTTTTCATGTGGACTGGCTACAAAATACAGGGGTCTTTGTTTATCCCAGCAACAGCATCTGAAGTCCTTGTAATAATCACGTGACTAGCATCATGACGTGGTGGGAGGTCCTTATCATCATCACAGCTTCTAACATCGTCATCGGATTTGTCACATTAGTCCTTAAGAGGTCAGGTTTGTCTTTGTCATGCTAAAGATTAATTCTTAACTTTGATCTAACTCATACAAGTAGGTACAGCACTCCAGTTTCCATTAATCACTAAAATTTTTGCTTTGAAAAATTTAGGTTGTGCTGTTGAAAATATGCATACATGTATATGCTAGAGCGAAATGTCAAATACAAGTAGAGAAAAAACACCAAAATAAAAACAAGTTCTTAATTCAACTGGAAACCGACAAGGATTTTTTTTTAGAGAAATGTTATAGTAAAAAGGAACACAGACATGCTGTGTTCTTGGAGTGGACGAGGGGGACAGGAAAAAGTTGTTTTATTTTTAAATCAACCATACATGCTGGAGTGTTTCAATGTTTCATTAACAACATCTATGTAGTTTTTGGGAACCCGGTCCCCCCCAAAAAAATTGGCAAAACTCTGTTGGAATTGAAATGGGCACCAAATGTGTTCTTTCATTAGCCGATCTATTTGATATTCATACGAAGCAGAAAATATTCAATTCTTCTTCGTGAAAAAAGACATTAAGCATTGGCAGTGGCCTTCAACTTATAATTACATACTAGTATATCGACGAAACTTTTTATTAGTAAACAATAATTAATACGTTTAACTCATTGGTGGACGTAATATCCCAGTAAACTTTAAGTAAATACTGTTAGCTACCATATAGTCTGTTAGTTGATGATACAGGAATTTCAACAACTATGTTAACAGTCATAATTTCAATCATTCTTTTATTAGTCATTAAAAATGATACTGTTAGCAAGACTTAGTACAACCTACATGTATGATTTGGTCTGGAACCTTAGACTTTTGTTTCTAACAGAATTGGAATACGGATCATTCCGTCAATAGATCGATACATGCGCTTAAAGTAGGTGTGAACGGTCGCGCAGACAACAGCAGAAACCAGATTTCACCGCTGGATTTTCCAGAATCATTTCTAATGCTATGTTCACATCTTTGTATTGTAACACTATTGTTTGTACCTTATTTTAGATCGATCACTGTGCATTACCTTAATCTATTTCGTTATTTTGAATCATACATTTAATATTCAAATTATAGGAATCGTCCAAAGACAATGAATTTATTTGAAAATAATTTAGGCAACGCAGTCGTTACATTAAATATTTGTTTGGGAAGACACGTTCATTATTTTCACACATCACTATGAATTTCATCAGAAAGAATATATTTCAGTTGTATATTATACATTATTGCTGGTTTTTTAGGTCAATACAATGATTTAGCCATCTGAGGAGTACAATATTCACCGAGCCCGAAGGGCGAGGTGAATATTGTACTTCGAAGATGGCTAAATCATTGTATTGACCGAAAAAACCAGCAATAATTGTTTTATTATATGATTCACTGATAAAATGATACAGTTCATTACTTGTTAACTTGCATCTAATTAAGTCCTAGCCAAATGCAAGAGAGAAGCAGAATCAAAATGTGAATAAACCTTACCAGTCGTATCAATTTGAAAGGTTTTTTTTCATCAATTTCAGTTGCCATGAAAAAAATAATATAATGTCAGTCTTCTTATAGGATAGATTTTGAAAGGAAGGAGTATTATCAGGGAAAACTGACTGCCAAAAAGTAAGAAAAAACAAAAACATGTTGTTCAGTTCAAGTGTTGGAGGGGGGTCCCTGCATTCTATCTTACCACCCTCACCCTAAAATATATATTTGCTTATGTTTTTTTCACATGAAAAAAAAATCACAGTCGTTTAAATAGCTTTCCAAAACAATTTGTATCAATTTGGAATTTCCCAATCTATTTTAGATCAATGTAGAGGAAATAAATCCTTGTATTGACCTGGAACGTCACGTGCAGGTCAATACAACGTAGTATTTTTCTAACATAGTTGGATCTCAGCCAATCAGAGAGATGGAAATTATTCAATCATATAATAATAGAGCTTATTACTATGTTAGAAAAATACTACATTGTATTGACCTGCACGTGACGTTTCAGGTCAATACAAGGATTTATTTCCTCCACATTTACCTAAAAATAGATCGGGAAATTCCAAATTGATACAAATTGTTTTGGAAAGCCATTTAAACGACTATGTTTTTTTTTTCATGTGAACAAAACATAAGCGAATATATATTTTAGGGAGAGGGTGGTAAGAGGGAATGCAGGGACCCCCCTCCTCCAAAACTTTTACTGAACAACAAATTTTTTTACTGTTTGGCAGTCAGATTTCCCTGATAATACTCCTTCCTTTCAAAATCTATCCTATAAAAAAGACTGACATTATATATTTTTTTCATGGCAACTAAAATTGATAAAAAAAAAACCTTTCAAATTGATACGACTGGTAAGGTTTATTCACATTTTGATTCTGCTTCTCTCTTGCATTTGGCTAGGACTTAATTAAATGCAAACAAGTAATAATGAGCTGTATCATTTTATCAGTGAATCATATAATAAAACAAGTATTGCTGTTTTTTCGGTCAATACAATGATTTAGCCATCTTCGAAGTACAATATTCACTTCGCCCTTCGGGCTCGATGCATATTGTACTCCTCAGATGGCTAAGTCATTGTATCGACCTCAAAAAACAGCGATAATTGTACTCCTCAGATGGCTAAGTCATTGTATCGACCTCAAAAAATAGCGATAATTGTGTAATATTAATATATACAAGTGATTCGAAAATCTCTGAATATTTTTGCATCTCTGTATTCATCTTATAAGATTTTTTTATTTGTATTTGTGTGTATTTAAATTTTAATTATGTTATATTTTTATTTTGATAGACTTTGGGATGGTAAAAGGTGCAATGAACCAAGACGAACTTTTGTTATAAAAAGAAACAAAGTAGATATTGCTTCTGTTGAAACACAGACCTGAAAGACTTCTTATATGTTGGCGAGACAAATCTTTGTTTTCCTCCTTAACTAACTCATACAAACATAAGAAAAATTCAGAGATTTTTTAAGCAGTATTGAGGATGTACTTTTAATATTAACACTTTTTGAAAATAAAGCATGAGAAATCTTTGAGTTTCGATTAATTTTTTTTACAGTACTTATATTTTACTTTGAGTGTAAATGGCAATAATTTAAAGGTGAAAATAAAGAAATATAGACACATGGTTGGGTTTGAATAGTAAAACAACCCCACATTGTTTGAATAAATCGTCAAGAACACTTTTCCTTCATGGACAGTTAAATGCTTTGTTCATAGGCATACATGTATATTAAATTAGTGTTGAGTGTACATGCAATGTAAAATTCTAGTGGTTTTAACATATTTACTTATTTCGGAAACGGTTCATACCTTAAATTTTGAATTCGCTGAATTGTCATGAAATGGGAACCCTTAATGCTAGCGTGTATCAAGTTCAAATGAACGCCAAAAGACCAAAATCCCAGCGGACAATATCGGACTGGGAGTCAAAATGTGAGCTCTGTCGAACACCGGCTACGGTGGAATGGAAGTGTTTGAATTGCTCTGATTTTATGTGTGCTAACTGCTACAAGATCCACAAGCACGGTAAACTGACAAAGATGCACACTGTCATTTCCAAGACGAACAGAGGCAGCGAGAGCAACCTTCTTCACAACATAAGATGTGATAAGCACTTAGATGAAAACGTAGATATCTTTTGTGCTAAGTGCGACAAGCCGATTTGCAAAATATGTCTGATAGCGGAGCACAATTCGCACAGTTTGACGCAAATGGAAACAAAAGCGGAAGAAGAAAGCGCCAAGATACGGAAATTGTTGAGCGAAGTTTCGGCTACCAAAATTAAACATTTTCAAGAACAAATAACCAATCAAGAAGCAGCTATCGAGACTTTCAGCCAGAAGGACAAAATAGCTACACGTGATATAGAAACAAAAACGGAGAAGATGATAGGTATTATCAGAGAAATCGGCAACAAACTAATAAAGGAGAATGTCAATCGATTGGAGTCTATGAAAAATCACAAATCGTCACTGGCGAAAGAATTGGCACAAATCAGAAAAACTGTAGAAGAGGCGGAAATCAGCCTGCAGAGAGGAAACGCTCTGGAAATAATTCAGAAGTCGCATTACTTTGAAAGAAAACTTGACCAAAAAGTCCCGGATGTACTGCATCCAGTGTATCACGATTTCTCCAAGTTTAGAATAGACAAGGAAATTCTAACGGCTTTGAAGAAGGAATGTAATGTAAGGTAGGAAAAGCTGTGAAGAAGAGAACTCGATAACGAAATTTTTGAAAATTTCCCTTGAATAATTCATGGATTTTATTTTAATTTTAGATTGCATGAACGAGATTTAGCGGAGTTGCTGGAGAAAAATAAAGCTCTACAACAAGAGCTGGACAAAGTAACACTGGAGAACGAGAAGCAGATGAAATCTCTACAGTCTAAACTGAACGCAGTCACCATCAGGAAAAGGTAACTCGTGCCATTACATGTCTTTCATGTTGACGTTTCCATTATGTGACATCTAAGAAATTTAATTAGTTGACTTTTTGCCTGCAGTAACTTGGAGAAAGAGTTGCGATCTTTGAGGGATATGAAGACCCAGCTAGAACAGGAGAGGGCTGCCTACAGAGAGTCGGCAAGCAGCAATAACGAGAGCACTGAGTCTGTTTATATACATACACTTTAGTTTTGTAATAATTTTGACAGCTCTCTAGCCATGTGAGGCCTAAACATTATACAAGTGCATGTATTTGCTAAAAACTTCCAGTATTTTTTTATAAATGTTGCAAGATCGTGCACTTGTCATGATATAAAAATCAAATGATATTTACAATTATTTTTTATTGCAAAAATTGTTAAGAGCGACTACTTTTTAAACTTTTTTTAAAACAGAGCCCTGAAGGAACAAGTGAGAATGTTGCAGTTAGAGATTGACGGTTTGTCTGAGAAATCTAACAGTTCTGATAAAAGCCAAAGATACAGGTATAGCTTCATTTACTTCTGTAACTGTTCAAAGATGTGAATAACCAGTTCTTATTTGACAAAGGAGGTGGTTATTTGAATGCTTACAGGGACCTTGAAAAAGAAAACGAGAGGCTGCGATCTGAAAAGAAAAGATTGCAAAAGGAGAGCGGAGCAACGATACTTAAACTAAGAAAAAATCTCCAGGCAGCTAAAAAAGAACCAGGGAAACCGGATCAGGGAAAAGAAACGTAGGTTACTTCCCCTAACTAACCTTTTTTTAAGAATAATACTTTTTTCAGTAAAATAAATTAGACATACTAAGTATTTTTAATTCTAATTCTAATTTAATTCTACGGTGGTGGATCAAGGGACGACTGGAGACATTTGCTAACATTCATGTGTTTAGTAAACAGATATTTCCTTTAATCTTTTGTTTATACAGAAATAAAGACAAAGGTCCCCCAATTTCTGCCAAACGCCCACAAACTGAAAGGAAAGCCGAAAAAAATTATTATACGCAATCTACATGGTAAGTTTATGATTCAAATTATAAAAAAGTGGAGAATACTCTAAACATTTGGACAGCTCTCAACTCAGTTCTCAAACGCTTGATATTTAGTTCCAGGAATTCTGCACAGAAACAGAGACCAAAGATAGGATCGGAAATAAAGGTCACGGGATCAACTTAGTATGAATATTTTTCGTTTGTTTTTTTTTTAAAGTGACTTAATTCAATAAGAGTTGTCATTCTTAGACTTTGTGCCCAAAGACATACTAAGAAAGATAACTCTATTCCATTAAAGACAATAAATTCTTATACCATGCAGGAGTTATTTCCCTTAGAAAGCATTAAAAGATTTATTGTGATTGTTTGGTGAGAAAAATTTCCTGGTTTTTAAGATGCCATATTTCATTGATGATACTAGTATTCGTATTTAAGCATGTTCAGGAAAATATTTTTCTGAAATATTTTCAATGTTCTTCACTCGAACTTAAATGAAAATTTATACGGTTAAAGTATATCACCAGGGACCTATATTTAAGGAATCACTGTCTAGTTTTGAGAGTATGCCAGGGCATCAACAATAGTGGGAAACATGGGATAATTTGCATAACGGGCGAAGCCCGTTATGCTAAAATTATCCCATGTTTCCCACTATTGTTGATGTCCCTGGCATACTCTCAAAACTAGACAGTGATTCCTTATATTTCCATTTCATTGTGAAATAAAATTGTAGATTTAGACTTTAAAAATGTAGACATAGACTTAAATCACACGAGGACTTCCATGCTAATTTCAATAGTCCTCGCCCACTGACGTCAAACACAAAGGCAGCCACACGAGATTTACATGCATATTTGGCCTCCTTAGCGTCAGACAAAGAGACAGATGCGCACGACGATTTGCATGCGTATTAGGCCTCCTTAGCTCCTGATCTATCGACCTGCCTAATTTACATTCCGGCAGAATTATCAAAAAATAAAATCCGACAACTTTCAAAGAGT